CCCCCACCTGCCCCATGGCTACGGGCCCTGCCTGGTAGGTGGCCCCATGGCCTCCCCACACCTGTCCCCACCCTGTCACCCCATAGTGGCCATCTCAGTGTCTTCTGGTGGCCTCCCGTGGTGTCCCCCCCTATGGTGTCACCCCATAGCTTCCCCTCAGTGTCCATCTTGGCATCTCCTGGTGCTTCTCCATTATGTCATTCCTGTGGCACATCCCCTTGGTGGCCACCTTGGTGTCTCCTGGTGTCCCCCATGGTGATGTCCCATCCATGACCATCTCAGCATCTTCTGGTGTCACCCCCATGGTGTTGTCGCCCCATGGTGTCACCCCATAGCGTCCCCTCAGTGTCCATCTTGGCATCTCCTGGTGTTCCTCCATTATGTCATCCCCTTGGTCTCCTCTCCATGTACCCAGGGTGTCACCCCATAGCATCCCCCCAGTGTCCACTTTGGTATCTCCTGGTGTCCACCTGGTGTCCTTCTCACTTCCCCTGTGGTGACCCCCTGTGGTGTCCCTTTGTGTCCCCATGGTGTCTCCTCAAGTCCCTGTGGTGTCCCCTATGGTGTCCCCCATGATGTTCCCATAGTGCTCCCCCATAGTGTCCTCTTCATGTCCCCATGGTGTCCTTCTCATATCCCTCTGTGTCCTCTCTCATCTCCCCATGATATCCCCTATGGTGTCCCCCGTAGTGTCTTGTGTCCCTTCATGTCCTCTCATGTCCCTGTGGTGTCCCCCATAGTGTCTTTCTCATGTGCCCATGATGTCCCCTCAAGTCCCCATGGTATCCCCCATAGTGTCCACCATGATGTCCCCTCTCATGTCCCCATGTTTCCTCCCCATGTTCCCACATTGTACCCCTCTGTCCCCCCAGGACCTCCTCCGGGCCATCAGTGGGACCATCATCTTCCTCCTTGTCGCCTTGGTGGCCCTGGCTGCCTCCCGGGACGCTTTGGCCGCCACCACCTTTGTGAGTGTCCCCATGCCCCCACCCCATCCCTACCGTCCTCTCCCCCACCTTGACCAAGACCCTCCCCCTCTCCCTCTTCTTTTCTTCTCCTCCAGACCTTCAGCCTTCTCCTCTCCTTCCTCTTCGCCTTTGATGTCTTCGTCACCTACCGCACCGAGGTGGCCCCTGTGGTGGGACACGGTGGGTGACCTGGGTCCCCTTGGGGTGGAGGAGGGGCAGGTCCTGGCTACCTGGGTCACCACATCCTCCATCTCCTCCAACCTTCTTCTTCTCTTCTAGATGCCACCACGGACTCAACCTAACTGGGCTCTTCCCACCACCCCCAAACTGGTGGCCCATCGTGGTCTCCTGCCCCATAGCATGCCCCATAACCCCCAGCAGTTAAACCTCTTCCACAACTGGTGCTTCTTCGTGGTCATGTTTGGTGGAGTGCGGTGGGCGACAGGACATTGTGTCCTTCTCCCCCAACCATCAGTCCCGGGTGCCCGGGTTCTTCTCATTAATTAATTAATTAATAGCATCGTTAGGCCCTTGTCTTGGATGGGGGAGGGGGGTAGTGGGATGGTGTGGGTGGTGGTGGGGTCATGGTGGTGGTGGTTGGGTTGTTCCTCTTGGTGGTGGGGTCGTTCCTCTTGGTGGTGGTGGGGTCACTCCTCATCGTGCAGCTTCTGGGATGAGGTAGGAGAGAAGATGAGGGGTGAGGAGGAGGTTGTGGGACGGCTGTGGGGCAGCTGTGGGGTGGAGGGAGGTCCCACCTTGGCTCCCATGTCGCGGCTCTTGGCCCGCAGCTTGTTGACCTGGGACTCGGCCATGTCGGCACGTTCCTCCGCCTCATCCAGCTCGTGCTGCGCTTTCCGGAACTTGGCCAGGTTGGTGTTGGCCTGTTCCTCCTGGAGGGCCAGGGGTGTCACCACCCTCCTGTCCCACCATCTCACCACCCTTCCATCCCATCACCCATCCACCCACCATCTCACCACCCTTCCGTCCCACCACCCCCTCTGTCTCTTCTGTCCATCCCATCACCCATCCACCCTTCTTGTCTCTCCATCCTCTGTCCACCTGTACATCTATCTCTCTCCACCCTTCTTCCACCCATCCATTGTCATCTGTTCTACTTATTTGTCTTGCAATCCCATCATCCATCATCCCTTGTCCATCCATACTTCTTCTCTCCCATCTCTCCATCCATCTGTCTTCCATCTGTCCTTCCATGCATCCATCCTCCATCTCTCCCACCATCCATCCATCTTCTTCTCCATCCCTCCCACCCATCCATCCTTTTCTTCCATCCATCTTCTCCTCCATTTCTCCTACCATCTATTCATCTTCTCCTCCATCCATCTTCTCTCCCATCCATCCTTATCCATCTCTCCCACTATCCATCCATCTTCTTCCATCCATCCCACCATCCATCCGTCTTCTCTCCCACCATCTATCCTTCTTCTCTCCCACCATCCATCCATCTGTCCATCCTTCCTCTTCCTCCACCCCCCAGACACCCACCGCCTCCTCTGCCTGCCGCTTGTAGGCCTTGACTTTCATCTGCAGCTTGTCCACCAGCTCCTGCAGCCGCAGCAGGTTCTTCTTGTCCTCCTCCGTCTGCAGGGAGGAGAGAGACAGGGCTGGAGGTTGGACACGGACATGCCCAGCTCTCCTGGGCCCTCCTTGTGCCTCAGTTTCCCTGCCTGGAGACCTGGGCAAAGGCTGAGCTGTGGCCCAGCTTCTCCATGACCCTGTGGCCACTGGGTCAATCATGTTCTAGGTCACCCTATAGCAATGGGTGAGGTCTAGTGTCCTACATCTCTGTGGGAATGGAGGCAACGGGTGATGTTCCAGGTCACCCATGTCCCTCCAGCCACCACATCAATGATCTGGGTCAACCATGTCCCTCTGGCCACCAGGTCAACCTTCTGTATCAACTGTGTCCCTCTGGCCACCAGGTCAACGTTCTGGGTCACCCATGACCCTACAGCCATCAGGTCAACCTTCTAGGTCACTCATCCCTGTGGCAACCAGGTCAATCATGTTCTAGGCCCATGGATACAGGGGCAGCGGATGATGTTCTGTGTCACCCATGTCCCGGTGGCCACCAGCTCTGCTGTATTTAGGCCACGGAGGGGCGGGGCTGTGGTAGCCCCACCTGGTAGCTGAGCTCCTTGACACGCCGCTCGGACTTGCGGAGGCCCTTGATGCTCTCGGCGTTGCGCTTCTGCTCGGCCTCCAGCTCGTTCTCCAGCTCCCTCACACGGGCCTCCAGCTTCTGCAGCTGCTTCTTGCCTCCTTTGAGGGCCAACTGCTCGGCCTCGTCCAGCCGCAGCTGAAGGTCCTTGATGGTCTGCTCCATGTTCTTCTTCATCCGCTCCAGGTGGGCGCTGGTGTCCTGCTCCTTCTTCAGCTCCTCTGCCATCATGGCCGCCTGCCCCAGGGGAGAAGCAACCAGAGAAGGAGCTCCAAGGCCTGTTCTCTGTCACCCTGTGGCAGAAGGTTTTTTTTCCCCGCCACAGCACTCACATCGGTGATGGCCTTCTTGGCCTTCTCCTCAGCGTTCTTGCACTCCTGGATGGCTTCTTCTACCTCTGTCTGCAGCTGGGAGATGTCCACCTCCATCTTCTTCTTCTGGTTGATGAGGCTGGTGTTCTGCAGATGGAGGAGAGGACCTCAGGAGGTGGCCATGGGGCTGCTCCCCCATCCTTCTCCAGACCCACAGGACTTAGAACAAACCCCCATCTCCACAGCCTTCAAGGATCTCCATCTGGAGATCTTGGTAACTCGCCCCATAAGCAGCCCGTGGTTTCTCCAGGCTCCCTGGACAGAAGTGACCTCTTTTCTTGGAGGTACGTGAGGTCTCACCTGCGAGTGGAGGAGCTGGACCCTCTCACTGGCCTCGATCAACTCCTGCTCGGCCAACTTGCGAGCCCTCTCGGTCTGCTCCACCACCGCCCGCAGCTCCTCCAGCTCTGATTGCAGGAGGTTGTTCCTCCTCTCCACGATGGCGATGTTCTCCTTTAGGTCCTCATTGACCCGCACCACGTCATCCAGCTGCAACTGGGTGTCCTG